CAAGGGGACACGCTGAGGGGGTGGGGGGGCATCACCCCAACGGAGTTTTCCCAATTCCTACAACTTTCCCCGTGGGCACAACCCCCCCCTCCCACCCCAAAACCCACCTCCCCATCCCGGTGGGCAAACCCGCGGGGATTGGGAAACTGGGAGGGGGGTGGTGAATTTGGGGTCTCTCCCAGGGTCATGGGGGGGACACCCTTTATTTTGGATGGTGTGGGGGTGGGAATCACTTCCATTACGGGGTGCAGGGATTAGAGAGGAGGGGGGTGAACCCCATCCATCGCTCCCGAGGCGATGTGGGAATTCCACGGGATGCGCCCCCCTCCCCCCCGCCGTTCACCCTGGGGGTGTGGGTGGTGCTGCCACCCCCCCCCCCCGCGACCCCCCGAATTCCCGGGGGTGTCACCTGGAGCGCGGCGTTGTCCAAGACGTCCATCTGGATGTCCTGCGAGGAGCTGTAAGGGGTCCGGGCCATGCCGCCTTCCCGCACCATGGAAGCGCCGGGCTCGGCGGGATTTTGGGATGGATGGGTGGGTGGATGGTGGGGAGGGGGGGGGGAACCACACAGAGGAAGATGATGACGATGACGATGAAGCTCAGGCCTGGCCCCCGCGGTGACGGAGAGAGGGAGGAGGAGGACGAGGAAGAGAAGGAGGAGGAGGAGGAGGAGGAGGAGGAGGAAGGAGGAGTGGGGATGGTGGCGGGGTGAGGGGGGGGGACAGGGATGGCGGGCGGCCGCTCCCACCACATTCCCGGGGGGATGGGGGCTGTGGGAATGCGGCCTCTTCGCTCCATTCCCAGGGAGGGGACCCCCAATACAGCTCCTTCCCAAAAGGGGGGCGATGAAGATCCCCCTTCCCGAAAAGGGGGCGATGACGATCCCCCCTCCCCTAATCGGGGGGGGGGCACAGCAGTTCCCACCAGCCTTTAGATTTCCTGGCTGGGGGGGGGACCCCAAAGAGAGTCGTGTCCCCCCCCAGGCTGTGTGTGGTCGGGGGGGGGACACGCAGGGGCAGCCCCCACCCCCAAATGTCAGTGCCCGGAGAGGGATGTGCCAGTCTGGGGATTCCAGGGCTCCCTCGGGACGAGGCTGCCCCTAAAATTCACCTTCTTCCCCCAAACCTTCCCCCGTGGGGAGCCCCACGAGCCCCCCCAGGGGTGCCCCTACCCACACACAGAGCCATGGGGTACCCTGGGGACCCCCCGTTGCCGTGGGTTCCCCACAAGGGCTGATGGACCCCCTGATGGACCCCCAGACCCCCCTGCCTTCTCCTGCAGCACGTGCCAGGCAGGACACAGCGTCCCCCTGTCCCCCCTCCCCGGGACCCTGAGGACAATCCCCCCCTCCCCAGGGACCCCGGGATGGGGAATGGACTCCCCCCTCCCCAGCAGGACCCAGCTGAGCCCCCCCCCCCCATCTCCCCTGACAGTACCGGCTGTTGGAAAGTTAAAAATTCCTTTGCCCCCCCCCGGCCCCCTCCAGGGGGGTTTTTCCTGCTCCTATCCCAGCTCCCGGGACAGCTGACACCACATTTTCCATCCTCAGCCCCCATCCATCACCAGCACCGTGAGGTGCTTCCATAGGGAAGGGGGGGTTTGGAGGGGGAGGAGCTGCCCCAGGTCACACCACTGATCCCGGGACACCATCCCAGAGCCCCCCCCCCCGTGCCTGGAAAAGCTCCAGGTGTGGGAAAATCATTGCCCCCCAACCCCAAACCTACTTGTCTCCTGCTTTTCCCACCTCTCCCAGGCCTGGACCACGCGGAGCTGAAATCCCTGAAGGGTCTGGGGGCGTCCCAGGGGTGTTTTGGGGGGCTGGGGGGGCCCTTCCAGCCGGGATCGTGCCCGGGGGCGGGTGCACCATTCCCTGGCACCGCGTGGGAGCACAAGGGAATTACGGCACCTCCTTCCCGCTGCCGGAGCTGCTCCTGCTCCCCGGGGCGAGGGGGGGCTCCCCGGGCCCCCCCCACTGCTCCCAGGACAAGCTTGGTGGGCATCCAGCCATGGATATGCCCGGGAAGCCAACGGAACGAGAAGAGGAGGGATGGCAAATCCCCTGGAACAGCACAAGCAGCAGCATCCCTACCTGAAACTCCTCAAACTTGGGGTCAGGGGGGTCTCCTCATCCCAGAATCCTTGGAAAGCACCAGGTGACACTTCCACAGGGACAACATCCCACACATTGACCCGTCCCCATCCCGGAGCTCCCCCGGGACACCGATCCCAGCGGAGAAACCCCCGGGCTGGCAATCCCAAGCCGAGCCCTCTCCCGCCTCAGGAGCCTCCAGATTGGGCTGTTTGTTTAAGGAAAATGATGAGTCAGTTTTTAAACAGCAAAAGCCTGTGTTTATCCGTGTTTTTCTCGGAAAATGAACCAAAAATCTGTCGGCAGAGGCTCCTCTCCTCACACCATATGTTGGGAGCGCGGCGGCCGCCAGATCCCGAGGGAATTGTCAGCATCCCGTCTCCGGAGGGTTAACGAGGTGATCTTGGGGCTTAACAAGGTGCTTTTTGGGGGGTTTTCACTCTCCAGCCACTCCCAGCTGGAAGGAAGGAGGAAAAACCGCTGCAAAAACGGCAGATTTGGGAATTGTTTCACATCAGGGCGGTGAAAAAAAGCAGCGTTTTTGCTGGATTGAAGGTGGATTTAAGGCAGGAATTCAGCCCTGAAGACACCCCTGTGTTTTTAGGCCAGTCACAATCCATACATTAGCATCTCCCAAGCTTTCCCTTTTCCAGGAACTCTTTAACAATCTGTTCCCAGGGAGGCTCCAGCTCTTTTCTGGGTCACACCAGGAGCCGCCAGGCCCCTTTCCAGCCTCACCACAGCGTTTTTGGGGGCAGGAAACATCATCCAGCCTGTCCCTGCCTCAGTTTTCCAGCTGCAAAGTGGTGCCATGGATACACCCAGACCTCACTCATGTCCAACCACAGAAAACTGGGAAGGTGGAATGTTCTGTGCCAACTGTCACCTGCCCCATCAGGAGGTTATTTCCCAGGAAAACATGAATTCCCTTTTCCCAGCAGCGCCAGAATCGCTGGGAAAGAGGTGGAACTTGATCCTCAGCTAGGACAGTGCAGGATCTGAGATCCCAGCTGAGCTTTTGGGGTGAATTCTTGGGAAAGAAGGAAAGACAGGGATCCCATTCCCTGCTGGTGTTGAACTCATCTGTAAGGAACGTTTGCCTGGAGGGTGAGGGTGGGATGGGGGGGGATCCCCCCAAGTGAGGGGCCAGGACAGGACCAGTCCTCCCAGTATGGGCCAGGCTGATCCCAAGACAGGGACCTTCTATAGCGTGGGCTGGGCTGATCCCAGGACACATCCAGGACTCCCAGTATGGACCAGTCCAGGCACAGCACAGGGCCAAGACTTCCAGTATGGGCCCAGCCGGGCCCTGCACCCTCGGCCCTGCGCTTCTCGCGCCACCAGTGGTGCGGGGGCACCCCCTGACCCCACTCCAGTCCCTCCCAGTGCTCCCAGTCCCTCCCAGTGCTCCCAGTCCCACCAGTCCGCTCCACGTGCCTCCCACACCCCCCTACCGCGCATGCGCAGCCCCCGCCCGGCCCTTCCCCCCACGCGCACGCGTCGGACTGTACCATCCTTTCTCCTCTGAAGGGGGGCCAAGATGGACCCACATCCCTCCCGCGTGGGTCTCCGCGCCACGCGTGTCCTCTCTATATGTAACCACGCATAATCTCACTGTGTATGTCCCCTCACCTGGCTCTGGGTGGCCCCGAGGCCGCTGCAGATTGCGGCGGGGTGCGGGTGGTACGTGCCGCGGGTCGTGGGCGGGGCCAGCACCGCCTGCCCCCCCCTCTCCCTCAGGCCCGGGCGCCGCAGCCATGAGGTGGGACCGGGGCCGGGGCAGCTCCGGGGGGGCTGCGGGGGCCCGGCGGGCACCGGGGAACACCGGGGAGGGTGGTTTGAGTACCGGGGAGGGGTCCCGGCTGTGCCGCGGGGCTGTCCCGGGCGCTGCGAGGCGGCTGCGGCCTCCTGGGGCCTCGCGGGAAAATGGCGGAGGGGGCGCGATGGCGGCGGGGGCCGCGCTGAGGGGCCGGGAGGGGGTCCTGGGGAGGGTCTGGGGATGCGGGGGGGCCCTGAGCGGGGAGGGCACGGCGGTCTCGAGCCTTGCTGGCCTTGGGTGCGCCTCTTGGATCCCACGGGGCCTCAGGCAGGGCCCTGAAAGGGATGAGGGGGGGTCCCTGAGGGGGGTGCAGAGATCCCCTGATCCCTGTCCTTCCCTCTCCCAGTATGCTCCGGCTCCAGAAGAGGTTGGCCTCCAGCGTCCTGCGCTGCGGGAAGAAGAAGGTGTGGCTGGATCCCAATGAGACCAACGAGATCGCCAACGCCAATTCCCGTGAGTGGGGCACGTCCCGGGGACTGGGGGAATGTCCGGGGCACTGGGGGGGAAATGTCCAGGGCACAGCCCTGCCCGAGGGGCCCTGGGGGAAAGGGATCCACCAGCAGAGCGGGAAGAGGGCTTTTGGGAGGCTCAGTGACAGCGAGGTTGGTTTAGAATCATAAAACCATTGAGGCTGGAAAAAGCCTCCCAGGATTGTCAAGCCCAGCTTTTGCCTTAGGTGAAATTCTGGCTCGGGTAAAATTCTGCCACTCAAGGAGCTTTTTTTTCCCACCTCCAAGTGGGGTTTCCAGGGTTTTCTGAGCTCCCCGGTGCCCTGTGAGATAATCAGTGAGGGAATTGGGAGGTTCTCTGGGAGATCTGGCAGAGAGAACGGAGCAGCTCCAGCAGCGTGAGGGGCTCTGTGGGGAGACCCACCTTCCATGGCACTCCCAGCCTTCACCCAGGGGGGACAAGGCGGGGATCTGTGCTCACCTGAGGGCTCCAGAGGAGGTGTTGGCCGTGTTTTGCAGGGCAGCAGATCCGGAAGCTGATCAAGGACGGGCTGATCATCAGGAAGCCCGTGACCGTGCACTCCCGCGCCCGCTGCAGGAAGAACACGCTGGCCCGCAGGAAGGGCCGGCACATGGGCATCGGTGAGGGCTGCACCCCACAGGCAGCGGGGCACCAGGGACCCCCAGGGGCAGCCCCCGCCCCTGGAAAGGCCCTGTGCCAGTCTGGGGATTCCAGAATTTTAGGCAACCCCAAAAATTCAGCTTCCCCCCCCTTCCCCAGTGTCCCTCCCGGGCCCCCCAGTTTGGCTGTGACTGTTCAGTCCTTGATCCTGGGCGGTTCAATCACTTCCATCTAAATCCAAGGCTGTGCTTTTTTGCCTTTCAAAAACCTCCCCGATCAGCTTAATTTAAAAATTAACGTTGTAGAGGAAAATGTGAACGTCAGTTCAACGTGGCTGACTCTGATGATTGCAGATACGCATCCCCCACCAAACTAGAGTTTAAGTATTTAAATAATGAAAGTAATATCAGTGTTAAAAGTAATGTTGATGGACTTTATGTCTTTCATATACTAAGTCTTTACTTACCTGTCTAGAAATTCAGTAAGGATTGCCACACACAGGGACCCCCAGGGCCGAGGGACCCCTGGGAATGGGGTAAATCACCCACTTCCCCTGGTACCTGGTCCTGCTGCTCCCTCACGCTGGGGAATAAATATCCCAGTGGGTTTGGTCACAGAGATGGAAAAGGGGGAGAGGGGGGTTAAATGAGCTGAAGAGGGGGATTAAACGCTTTGGGAGGAGTTTGGGGTTTAACTGGCGGGTTTTGGGGCTCGCCCTGCCCAGGTAAGAGGAAGGGCACGGCCAACGCCCGCATGCCCGAGAAGGTCACCTGGATGCGGCGGATGCGGATCCTGCGGCGGCTGCTCCGGAGGTACCGCGAGTCCAAGAAGATCGACCGGCACATGTGAGTGTGGGCACGGGGCTGGGGGGGCTCTGCAGGCCCAGGGGGGAAGGACAGGGGGCTGGTGGGGGACAGGGGGCTCTGAGGGGACACCAGGGAACCCCCTGGAGCTGGGTGAGGCCCCCACAGGACACCCCAAGCAGCTCCTTTCCAGACCCATCCCAGGGGGCTCTGAGGGGACACCAGGGAACCCCCTGGAGCTGGGTGAGGCCCCCACAGGACACCCCAAGCAGCTCCTTTCCAGACCCATCCCAGCACTGGGAATGGACAGACAGGCACAGCCTCCCCCCTGAGCTCTGCACAACCTCCGGGCCCACCTGGAGGGGCTTAATAAAGGGAGGGGTCCCACCCACAGGAAATGGAGCTGAGACCCTCCCACCTCATCACACAAGTGATGGGACCACCTGGGCCCGGGGCTGGAGAGGTCCCAATGTGTGACATTCCCTTGTCACATCCCAGCATCACCCTGAGTGGGGGCAGCACCCACAGACACCCCACCCCAGTTTGCACCCCAAACCCCCCCCAGTTTACATCCCACACACCCAGACCCCCTTCCTGCCGCCCCAGCTCCTTGGGAATGGAGTTAAACCCTCCCTGGGCTGACGTCCCGCCCCGTCCCACCCCCGCAGGTACCACAGCCTGTACCTGAAGGTCAAGGGCAACGTGTTCAAGAACAAGCGGATCCTCATGGAGCACATCCACAAGCTGAAGGCGGACAAGGCCCGCAAGAAGCTCCTGGCGTGAGTGCTGCCCTGGGCAGGGGGGGTTTGTCAGGAGTGACCCCTCCCTTGTGGGTCATTCCAGCTGGATTCTGGCCCTGGTGGGAGGGATCGGCCCCGAACTGGGCAGGGCTGGCTGGAAGCAGAGAAACGTGGGATCGTGGTGGAGTTCTGTGTTTCACTGGGGGGTTTAATGCTCAGAGAGGGGGAAACTGGGAAATTCCTGAGCAGCTGCTGGAGTCGGTGAATGATTGACCAGGGGGAGGGGAGGGATCCCAAAATCCTGGGGGGAAAAGGCTGAATAACTTCACCCTGGGCTTCAGTAAAGGCTGGGACCCCACACAGCCCCTGCCGGCTCCTCCCGGGCCAGAGCGAAGGGAAAACCCCGAAATCCAGTGGGAGGGACGTGGGTGCTGGAGCAAGGCTGGTCTGGGACAGCGGGAGGAGACTGGGGACAGGGGTCAGGGTGGTTTTGGGGCTGTCTGAGGTGCTCCTGGTGCACCCAGACCCCTCGATCCCACAGGGACCAGGCCGAGGCACGGCGCTCCAAGACCAAGGAGGCGCGGAAGCGGCGGGAGGAGCGGCTGCAGGCCAAGAAGGAGGAGATCATCAAGACCCTCTCCAAGGAGGAGGAGGCCAAGAAGTGACCACGGGCTGTCCCTTCCAGAAAGTGTGTTCCAGCTTCCAGCACCCAATAAAAAAACATCCGGGACCCCTCCTGCTGAGTGTCCGTGTCTGGAGCGGGGAGGGATGGGATGGGATGGGATGGGATGGGATGGGATGGGGAGGAGCTGCTGCTGCTGCTCCCCAGTTTGGGACTGGATCTACCCCTGGGGCTTCCAGGCAGGATTATGGGGGGCTCAGGGAGCCAGGAGGTCCTTGGATCCACCCAAAATCCCCCCAAAGGCTCAGGGCAGAGCTGATGTCCAGGGGAAGGTTTTGGGGGTTCTGCACCCCCAGAGGGGAAAGGACCCAGGGCTGGGGGAGGGGACTTAAGGTGGAGCTCACACCAGGGAACCCCCCCAAGAGGTGGGTCTGGTCCCCCCAAGACACCCCAAATTCCCCAAACAGCTCCTTACCAGACCCATCCTGGCCCTGGGGATGGATGGATGGATGGACAGACGGACAGACAGACAGACAGACAGAGACACAGCCTCCCCCAAAGCTCTGCACCACCCCTGGGCCCACCTGGGGGGATTTATAACCTGGGGGGGTTATAAATGGAGCTGAGACCCTCCCAGCTCATCACACGGGTGGTGGGACCACCTGGGCACAGGGCCGGGGGGGAGAGGTCGAGTGTCCCCAAAGTGTGACACCCCCTCATGTCACACCCCAGTGACACCCTGAGGGGGGGGAGAGCACCCATAGACAACCCCCCCTGAAATCTGCACCCCAGGGAGGGGCTGGTTCCCTTAATGCCCGGGGGGGCTCAGTGAAACACCCTTTTTCTCCCCAAAATGAGCCAAATCTGGGGGAAATTAAAGGAATTAAAATGAGAGACACACACGCACAGCAGGGGAGGGTGTCCTTGGCTGGGACAAAGGGACTCAGGGAGCCCCCCCCGTGTGTCCTCCCCTCCCTCTGTGACAACAAACACGGTGCCCCCTCCCCCCCCACGTACTATTTACTGTCAACACCTCAAACTGGGCCAAACTGGGCCAAACTGGGCCCAACCCCACTTACATCACCCCTCCCTGTGCCTATAAAGCCATGGGGGGGGCACCCGCCTGTCCCTCTCTGCTGCCACCCTGTTCGTTGGGTGTCCCCCCCTTGAGGGCCCCCCCCAAAATGCTCTTCTGGCACGGCCAACCCGACCACTACTGGTCCAGCGCCGGGGACATGTACCCCCTCCCCCCTTCTGGGGTGCTCAGGTACCGCCCCCGCCCCCCAAATCCGATGGTTTTGGGGGAAACCGAGGCACGGTTGGGTGCCCACCTTTTTGAGGGGGGGGTGTTTTCCCGCAGGGACCCCCCCGTCCTGCCCTACCTGAAGCAGGAGGAGCCCAACGGCATCTCCACGTCCCAGCCGGAATTCCCGGCGTTCCAGTACATCCTGTGCGCCCCCACCTCCCCCGCCGTGCGGCACCACGAGGAGACCCTCACCTACCTCAACCAGGGTGAGTCCGGGGGGGCTCTGGGAGAGGGACGCGCCCCTGCCCGGGGGCTCAGCACCCACCTTTACCCCCCTTTCCCCCCCCCCAGGGCAGTCGTACGAGATCCGCATGGTGGGGACCCCCCGGGGGGACCCCGCGGAGGGGCGGAGGATGGTCAAGGTGAGTCGGGGTGGGGACCCCCAGGACGGGGAGGGACGTGGGGAGGCTCGGGGCAGAGCTCCGGGCTGCAGTCCCGGTTCGGCTGTGCCAGAGCCCCCGTCCAGACTCAGTTCTGTCCCAGTCCAGCCCCAACTCGGCCCCAGTTCTGTCCCAGTTCTACCCCAGTCCAGCCCCAACTCAAACCCTGTTCATCGCCAGTTCTGTCCCAGTCCAGCCCCAACTCGGCCCCAGTTC